AATAAAAGTGATATAGCAAATTATTGTGGCGCGATCTAAATTCATTTCAAGCTGCATGTTCTCTCTATACAATATTTTATTCGTGATACAAAGCGGGACAAAATTATCAAATAGTGGAGATGATGCAAAGAATAGAATAATATATTAATATATATAAAGCAAGAATAATATTCAAAAAAATATATAGAATAATTTATACAGTATCATACTTGTGATCCTATAAACTAATGTGTGATATGATCATGATATATCTATTTTAGACTCACCTACAGCAACATTTTCGTATCTTTTATCATCCAAAACTGTGTCGTCTGTGTATCAATGTTGTGTTGTCAGGTATAACAATTGAATTATGCTCATTACAAATGAAATAATACTTGGCATGAAGATATTTGAAATAAACATAATAGTACACCTTATTGAGTATAAAGCTAATTATATTTTACCAACCTGTGTTTTTTCCATGTTGACTTCTTCTTTTCAAAATTATTATAACAGGTACAACCGTAATCGCCAACAAAATAAGGATAACACTTGGCACGACGTATACTGCAGCGTTAGTATGTGTTGATCTACTACTATCAACATTGCCTGGTGGCTGAGCTATAAATACAGATATGATCCTGTTAATTAAGATAGAATAGCTATAACACATGTTCCGCATTATATCATAGGAAAATAATATACTCTTAAAAGGGAAGTCAAGCAAAACAACATATTGCCCACTAAAGAAAATCCTCCACGAATGTAGGAGAATGTAATTTACAGTTTTTATATCACTTTTCATTCTCTAGATATTCAATTTTTCATCAGTATTATGTAGTCCGACATCTTGAATCTCCAGCACAGAATTGTGGGTAAAGTGTGGCATCATATCCACTCAAAAATTGAGAAAGTGTACTCATCTATAAGGTGAGAAATACTGATGCATTTTTTTTTTCAAATTTTCAGTGTGCATATTACTCGCGTATATAATTATAGTAATGGAAATTAGAGTGCTACAAACACATATAAATTGAAGATATTGGCAAAAACGTAAAAACAATAAAAATCAATATTTTATTCATTAGAAGTCGAATGACACTTTGTTGTCTTCTTTTTATGGTCAGAAGCTAATATATCACCCATATAACCTACTCAAAATGATGAGTTGTATACAATATAAAGAAATTTGAGCATACGGTAGAAAAAACAAAAATGAATGTTTACAGTTATGTTGTCCTGACAACTATTTTAATGCATGTTTGGTACCGGTATATGTATGCTACCATGTTCTAACCTTTCTGCCAATTTGAAGTTCAACTTTTGAAGTTATAGATGAAATTATTTTCTCAATTTCGAAGAATCAGGATGGTGGACTACATAAATTAATGAAAAGTTGAATATCTAGTGAATGGAAAGTGATTTGAAAAAGCTGTAAATTGCATGATCTTATATTTGACGAGCTTATATGTTGCTAGACTTCATATGTTGCTGTTTATTGAGGGTAGTTTTATATTCTGAGCAACAATAACCATACGTTAACGTAATTACACTACATTATACTGAAAGAAAATATTGTCATATGTATTCAACATACATGCTTCTACAGATTGGAAATATCAATTAAACTATTTGCCCATATTAAAGATTAGATTAGTTGTGCATACTTTGATGATGGAACCCATGTTAGCATGACATTTGTGATCAAAATTAGCTATTTTAAAATCGTCAGATATACAAACAATCTTCTTTGTTTTGTACAATTGATATTCTGTCTAACGCGAAACACATACAATTAAAACATTCATTCTCATTTAAAAAGGTGTGTGTCACGTTTACGTCACATCACATTGTTTACATCGTTTACATCAACAACGTAGCACGCGACTGAAATACAATTGTGCCCTACGATAACTCAGGCCGTTATGTCTCATCAACTTATTATAACTACACAAGGGAGGAGAAGTATTAATATTAAGATTATCCCATGAATTATGTGAGGGCATTGCGTTAAGCGTCGCTCGATACGATAACCGTACAGCCTTAGTACGTATTATATGGTACTCTAATAAATTGTCCCAGATGTTTGTCAACAATCAACGAATATAAATAATGGTATGTAGACATTTTGAGACAAATCTTAAAAAATTGCGAATAGATTGCTACTGCCTGGTGAAACAAATGCTGCTCGGGTGATACTAACATGCACAATAAATACTAGTACTTATGTGGCTTCTAAGTTTACAGCTCTGACCATTATTTGATCATTTGATTATAAGATCATTATTCAATAAAGTAATTACTAATTATTTATCCTTTGCCAAATATACTAATTTCCCCCACTAACAAATAGGCCATGGACATGGATAGGCTATCGCTGCGCCCCACAACTCTACCATACCACATTTTTTTTTAACCATTGGTGTCTCTGTGCATTATGTAAACGTGAGTTGGTTTTTGCACTTGCTATTATGCAAATACTCAAGGGAATTGAAAACTAGCCTGATACAGAATGAGACTTGTACAAGTAAAACCAAACATAAGTAATCTATTCAGGGCCACCGAATCCTCCAATCAGCAATGCCGACCGGGTATTTGACATACATAATAGGTTTATTCTGACTGTTTAATATATTTTTTGTTTTAAATTTATTCTTGTATAGTGTATTATTATGGTACCGCACTGTGTCACAATGGCAGCTAATGTAACTGAACCGTCAATACTTACGTATACAATACGCGTGTTGCAGAAAATCGTACGTAATTTCACTAGACAATGTTCTTCCCGATTTGAAAGCCTACTTTATTAGTGAGTATCGTTATACCATGTTTTGCAAAAAATACACCATTGGTAATTCTGAGTTTTAGATCTAGTACACGGCAGGATGAATATGTGGTCAGTTGGACATTGGCAATCCGAGAAATTTCAGAAAAAAAATACTTTAAATATATTTAAATACTGTCTGGTTATGGGACAAATAAGGCATGATTATGATAATATAAAGCAATGAAAACAAATTTATTCTCACTGGCGTTTAATTTTATTACAAACAACAAATGATAGTGATGATTATTCGAAAGCAGTGTTCCAACATATTCCCGCCACTATATGCTCATTCGCATTTCATGAAAAAAACTGCTTTAACATATCATCTATCTTCAACTTCAAAAAATGATGGTACCTATCTGATATTAGGAGTCTTCAAATATGAAGTTAACACAATCATTGACAGTTTAAATATAAAATAGTAACAATAATGTTTACTTACTTTTTCCATCAAACATAACTATAAATGTTGCATTTGCAAAGTCGCTTTCAGCAAAACACGTGTAGTTACCATAATCACCAGATTGAGCATTACTAATTGTAATTATGCTTTCATGTAATGTTCCTTGTGTAGAACTAGATATTGTAATTCTGTCATTGCTGATGAGTACAGATCCATTCGGACTAAACCATTGTAATGTAGAGGTAGGATTGCTGTTAATCTGACATCGTAGTTCTCCGGTTTCACCTTCATTAGCTCTTGACTGTTCATTTTGGGTTTCATTCACTGGAAAAGGAGTATCTGCAAGACAAAAATATTTCTGAATTAACCCTATGGAAATACACTTTTAGAAAAAAAATTTGCTTTGTTACAGATAAATAGTCGACTAGACTATCTTATAGGACTTATAGGAGTGGCATTTAAAAAAATGTCAAGTTGCCAATTTGTTTGTACATTAATTATCGTTATATCTGTCGAGGAAGAAAGATCACGTAATATATTTCTATATGCATTCTTATTTTTATATATTTTATATTTATGTTCAGTCTTATCCTCATATTATCGACTCCATAATAATTTGGATGTGGTGTGTACAAAGTCATTCAGAATCAAATCTTCCAGTTTTCCTGTTTGTGCAGTCAAATTTCCTATAAGAATTACCTTTCCATTACTGATATTTTATAATTTATTATTTGTTCTTAGGTTTGAATATAGATGAGTTTTCTGGTAGTAAATATGCCACACACATATAAATATCATTTCTCAAATTGAAAACTTATTTTAACCTATATGAGACTCTCAATTATGGTTTGCACGTTGGCAACTGATTTTATACCTCTATGACCGCAACTCCACCGAAATGTTGTCTCAGTGCTTTACTTCAAATATAAATAAACTCTGCTAAACATTCTAAAACTACAAAATCATTAAGAGTTTAAAAAAATCCATATAACGGAACTATGACTTTTAATGCGCTGAATGTTCCAAGTCATAAATGACAAGGTGTCTCTACATCTAGTGTTCTACGTGTGTATGGTATTTTTGTTCTGCATATATCTGATATATAATTTTACATATTAAATTCAGCATATCAGAAAGTCAATCATTGTATGAATTAACTTTCCATTGTTGTTAATATTAGGGCCATACTAACAATGTTTACATTTCGTAATTGTTTCTGTAGTTTTTTTTCGTGACTATACTGTCGTTTTTTCTGCCATTATTTCTCATTATGTGTTTTTTTTTTATATTACTGACACCAGTTGAGATCATTGCATTGATTTTTTATAAGGTTATTACGAGAATACATCAAAGTATGCACAAAGATATTACAGTTGGAATATCGACCGACGCCCATACTTATATTCCTGTAATAACATTATTATTATACATCAAGGATACACCATATGAATGCAGAAATTCAAAATGTTTTGAACAGTCTCGGCGTACAACGTGGAGTCCGGTCAAACTCTAGTGGCAGCCATGTTTGTTTTTGTTATTAGAGAACGCTTACGCGCGTAATCATTCCATATTTGAAATTCGCATTTCCTAATATGGTAGGATGAAAACACCCCGTAAAACACCGCAAAATTACGGCAAGCTGTGATATATGGCGTTATGATGACAGATGTAT